GCTGTGACACAACACCTGGCAGTCAGATGAAGGAAGAGATCTTTTTGGCTCATAGGCTGAGGGTAATATAAGTCTATCATGGTGGCAAAGTCATAGCAGCATGAGATCACACCACATCTGTAGTTAGGAAGCAGACAGATGTTAGAACTTCTCTTGATTGCTTTGTCTATTAATTTTTTTTTTTAAAGATTTTTGGCTGAGTATGACAATGTATGCCCTTAATCCTGGCACTCTGGAGGCAGAGGCAGGTGACTCTGAGTTCCAGGCCAGCCAGAGTTGCATAATTGAGACCCTATCTCAATTTTTTTTTTTTTGAGTCAGAATTTCTCTGTGTAGTCCTGGATGTCCTGGAACTCATTCTGTAGACTAGGCTGGCCTCAAACTCACAGAGATCCACCTGCCTCTGCCTTCTGTGTCCTGGAATTAAAGACGGGTGCCACCACTGCCCAGCAGATTTTCCCCCCTTCTTTTTATTCAGTCTAGGCCTTCTTTAGCCCTTGGAATGGTTCCACTCACATTTACGATGGATCTTCCAACTTTTGCTAACCCTATCTAGAAACTTTCTCAGAAACATGCCCAGAGCTTTGTCTATTAGGTGAGTCTATTAGGTCCTGACAGTCAGTATTACAAAGGCATATGCCAAGGACAGATAGATGTAAACCTCTGTTGGTTAGTCCAACAACAATAGAGGTTAGTCCGAGCCAACTAATTGTGTGACATCCTAAGTATCCAGCACCTCTCTTAGTCAGGAATCCAGAAGCCTGAGAATACCTCAGATTTTTTGCTGGTCAATGCTGGTCAGAGATACTGATGAAAGAAAAGATCTTCCAGGGAGGGCGAGCCAGGGAAGGGCAGGAGAGCTAGCAGCCAAGTCTTTAGTCTGTGCTATCTCCTCACAGAGCCAGAGGCACACATCCTGGGCTCTGCCTGCCTCGTGCTGCCAAGTACTGTGGACAGTCATTTCACGCTTTGCTTTCCACTCTGATTGTTTTTCATTATGCCATACATGGCCTACCTTAATCTAGTTATTTAGTTTGTTCTATAATAGAAGCTCATAAACTCATCCTCCAAAACCAAACCGAGCAGCACATTAGCTGGGATGGTATCACTTGGACCTGGAATGTGTGCTCAAAGGTGAGGTCCCAGGCTTGGTTCTCTGAGGAGGTGGTGGACCTTGTACTTGGTGAGGCCTGCTGGGAAGCATTAGGTCATTGTGGACATGCTCTTGAAGGTTTTATCCCCCCCCCCCTTTGTTTTACTGCTTTCTTTCATTTCCTAGCTTCCACAAGCAGCTTCCTCTACTCCTGCCAGGATGTACTGCCCTGTCATAGACTCAAAAGCTATGGAGGGGCTGGAGCAATGGCTCAGTGGTTAAGAGCAATGGACGTGGTTAAGAGCAATGAACGCTTTTTTATGAAGTTAAAAATAACCCCGGGTCAATTTCCAGCATCCACATGGCTGCTCACAACTGTCTATAATTCCAGTCCTAAGGGACCTGATGCCCTCTCCTGGCTTCTGAGGGCACCAGGCATGCAAGTGGTGTACAGGCATACATGCAGGCAAAACACCCACACATGTAAGATAAATGTAGAAAAGGATGAAAAATCAGTGGGGATCAACCTCCAAAATTGTGAGCCCCACAAAGACCTTTCATCTTTGTAAGTTGATTGCCAAGGCCTTTTGTGATAGTAACAGAAAGTTAACTAACACTTAGCAGGAACTGGAACGGGATTGTAGGCTTCTCTTCTACCCCAAGATTCTGTCTCCCACTGCTTGAGTAACCCACACCCTGAATTCGATGTATATCAGTCTTTGCTTTTTCCCTTTCATATATTTTTAAAAGTTTACTCAAGTAGAAAATTTCAAACATTCACAGCTCAAGAGACTAGTCTGATCTTGCTTTATCAACCTTCATCCCTTTCCAGTTCTAATTTGGTTGTTTGTGGTGCTGGGTCCAACCTAGGGCCCTGTGCTTTCTGCATAGGCACTCCATCCCTGAGTTATATCCCCAGGCTCCCATTTATGCTTTTATTTTGAGGTGGCATTTTTTTTCTGGCCTTGACCTCGTGTGGCTCAGGTAGGCCTTGAACCTCTGAGGCTGGGGGCCTGTGGTTCCTACCCCCTTTAGGCAGTTGTGTTCTGTGTATGTTTCTGAAGAGTATCTACTCTTGCTTTGGGTTATTTTTAACTTTATAAAAATGCATCTTGCTGAATGAAATTTTTTTGTGGAGCAACCTTTTTCTTTCTTTTTTTCAAAACAGGGTTTCCCTGTCTCTGGGAGCCTGTCTCTGGAGTTAGCTCTGTAGACCAGGCTGGCCTCGAACTCAGAGATCCACCTGCCTCTGCCTCCCGAGTACTGGGATTAAAGGTGTGCACCACCAACACCCTGCTGGAGCAACTTTTTTCATGTACTATTAATATATCGGTAGAACCCTGCAGTGTGTCATCATGGATCATTCACTTTGTGTAATGGCCCCTTGCATGCGTAACCCTTGGCTTATTTTTCCGCCCTGTCACTGATGCAGCTCAATTTGTTTGTGGGTTTTTGCTGTTGGGAAGAGCACTGCTCTGACTGTATTTTTAAAGAAAGGATTTATTTGTTTTAATTGTATGTAGGTGTGTGTGCCTGCAAGTGGGCATGTGCACAAGCGTGCAGGTGCCTTGCAGGCCGGCGGCATAGGATCCCCTAGAACTGGAGTATAGAGACAGCTGTGAGCTGCCTTGCAGGTGCTGGGGATCAAACCCCGCTTTTCTGGAAGAGCAGCCAGTGCTCTTAACTGCGAAGCCATCTCTCCAGTCCCTGCATGCTCATTTTTAAAACAAGGAAGGAAGAAAGAAAGAAAGAAAATAAGCTTTGTGGACCTGGAGTGGGGTGCTTCAGACTGAATTGCATCCTCTCACGGGTCACATGCAGAAGCTTTAGCCCCTGGTGTGATGCTATTTAGGGACTGGCTTTTGGGAAGTAATTAGCTTTAGATGAAGTCTGGAGGTTTGGGCTCTTGAGACCATAGAACTTACTGTGTCCTTCATGTCCCCAAGGAAAGGCCGTTTCAAACACAGCAAGGAGGAAGCTGCTAGAAGCTGGGAAGGATTCTTACTAGGACTCCACCTGCTGGCCTTTAGCTTTCAGAACTGAGGGGATACATTTCTGTTCTACCACCCACCCTGTGGGTTTGCTATGGCAGCGGCACAAACTGACTAGGTCAACCTGAGATGTTGACTACCTCTTCATGTTTCCTTTTCTGTTGAACATCTGTATATCTTGCTTGTGTCTCTGTTAGGTTGCTGTGTTGTTCTGAGTCAAAGCTGTAACAAAGTACCACAATTTTGGTAGATTAAAGCAACAGAACTTGCCAGGCATAGTGGCACACACCTCTAATCTCAGCACTCGGGAGGCAGAGTTCAAGGCTAGCCTGGTCTACAAAATGAGTTCCAGGACAACCAGAGCTACACAGTGAGACTCTGTCTCTAAACAATAACAACAAAACCAATCAACCAAAACCAAACCAAAAAGCCTCACAACTAATTCACAACAGCCATAAGTCAGAACTAACCTAAGACAACTGACAAACAGCTACGTAAAAATGCCATCTAGTCACACAGGGGAGGAAAAAAAATTGAACTGTAAAAAATATGACATGATATAGGAAAGACCAAATTAATCAGTGAACAGGATCATCATACTTTGTAATATAAATGGCTTTCCTTTTTTGTATTGTTTCAGTCTTATAAAAACGTACAGAGAGGCTGGGAGGTGGTGGTGCGCACCCTTAATGCCAGCACTTGGGAGGCAGAGGCAGGTAGATCTCTGTGAGTTTAAGGCCAACCTACAGAGGGAGTTCCAGGACAGCCAGGGCTACCCAGAGAAACCTTGTCTTGAAAAACCTGGGGTGGGATGGGGGGTGGGTGGGGAGGGTAATAAAGGTAGGTGTTTTCAGGCCTGCTTATAGAGATTTTTATACATGTGGGGCTGTAAAACATCAGTTGTAGGGCTAGAACAAAGGCTCAACAGTTAAGCGCGCTTGATACCTTTATAGAGGCCCCCTGCTTGGTTTTCAGCACACACATGGTGGCTCAAACGCCTGTAACTCCTGTTCCCAGGGATAGGATGTCCCCTTCTGGCCTGTGCAGGCATTGCACTCATATACACAAACCAAAAATCTTAAAAGTTCACCTATTCAGATCCTTGCTCCACGCGGCAGGGACACCCCAGGATTGACATGTGAATTCTTCTCTCATGGAAACTCCAGCAGCTAGATTACTTTTTTCCAGTTGTGCTTCAAATTAATTTTTGTTGATAGCACCTTGCATTTGATTACAATCAAGTTGTTTTCCAATAACCACGTTTATTTGTTTCTAGAGCCTTGTGTATTTGCCGAGTACAGAGACTGATATTTTATATTGGTAGCTGGCTGCAAACCTGGAGTTCATTGGGACTACAAACTAAACCCAGACACTTGTCCAAAAGCTTTCCATGGAGTGTGAAGGACTCCCCCATCAGCCTGGAAAGCTGTTTAGGAAAGCAAGACACTGCTGTTAGGCGTCTAGGAGATAGCCCCAAGGCTTGTCTGGATGTTACCACTTCCTGTTTTCATCAGGCCAAAGGGAACCCTCATCAGTTAGTCCATTTCCTGGAAATAATGTCCTCCCTGACAATCTATTTCATCACCCTCAAAAAGAGCAAGAACCCAGGCGCTGACAAATACTGTCTTGCGTTAGGCAAATTATCAGAAACAAACCTTGTTTCTGTGCAGAAGTTTCAGGGAATTTGTAACAATTAGTTCAGAGTGTCTGTTCTTCACAGCACGCTAAAACAAAACAAGCAAACAAAAATGACTTAATTCTAGTCACAGGGGAAGAGAAATCTTAGGAACCCTAGCTAGGAGTGGCACGCATCACTTTAGGTCTCTTCTGTAGCTGTCACATGGTCACACTAAGCTTCAGAGGAGGAGGCAGTGTTTCTGGTTTTGCCAAGCAGTGTTTCTGGTTTTGCCAAGCAGTGTGGTACCTCTGGAGATTATTGTCCTATTCGGAACAGCACAGCCGAGAGCTCGAGGAAGCGTCACGCACTTCTCTCTGGATCTTCAAGTCAGCGCCTCTGCTGTTCTGTCAAAAACTAACAGCGATCCCCTGAGCTTTGTAAGTGATAAACCCAACATGCTATTTCATTACATTTATTATCTAGCTGACATATATCCTATCCTGTTTCTTTCTTATGTAGAACAATTCTTAGTTGGGGTGGGTGGGTGTATGTGTGTGTGTGGGGGGGGGTGAGTTCCTGTCCAAGGTTTCCAAACTTATTTCCAAATTAAATAGCAAGGGAAGAAGTCATAAAACTGGGGTTTCACCCTGTTTATAGAAGACAGTGAACATGGGGTTGTAGCCATCAGTTTGGGACTGGAGAGATGGCTCAGTTAAAGCACTTGATGCTCTCACAGAGACCTCAGTCCTATTCGCAGAGCCCCCATGTGGCTCACAACCTTCTGTAACTCCAGTTACATTTTCTAACGCTTAGAGACATTAAAACATTTTCTTACATTTATTTATTTATGTTGCTATGATATCTGTGTGGAGAGACTTTTTTTCTTTTTTTTCTTTTTTTTTTGGAAACAGGGTTTCTTTATATAACCCTGTTTTGGAACTTGCTATGTAGACCAGGCTGGCTATGAACTCAAAGATTCACCTGCTTTTGTCTCATGAGTGCTGGGGTTAAAGGTATGTGCCATCTTGTCTAGCTGGCAAGACATCCTTAATATATTGTTATGACTGGGACTGGGGTACTACTGGCAACAGATATGTGGAAGCCAGAGGTGTTATGAAACATCCTGCTCTGCACTGTACAACCTCCTCTTTCTGAACTAAAATAAAAAGTAGTTATGCAATGGTGTCAAAATTGAAAAGCCTTGATATGGGAGCTGTAGAGTGGGTTATGTAGTTAAGAGCACTTGTTGCTCTTCCAGAGGACCCAGTTCAGTTCCCAGCACCCACATGGTGGCTCAAGGCCATCTGTCACTCTAGTTCCAAATCTAAAAGAAAGCCTGACACAGAATTGAGAGTTACTGCGCAGTGCAAGACCCTAGCCCCTTTGCAGCGTGAGCATGTGACTGGTTCTCACCAATTGTATATCACCTAAAATGAAATGTGCTACTGCTCTCCAAGGGTTCTCTTTCCTTCTGGCAAGATGGAGATGATGACTAGGGTCTGTAGGAGAGCCACAGTTGGAACCTAGACCCTGAGTCACCATCTGGGGCATCTACTGCAAATATAGGTGGAATTTTAAAAAATTTATTCTTTTGGTATTACTGTGCATGTGATGTATATGTGTGTGCTGTGCTGGTTACATGTGTTATAGCATACATATGGAGGTCAGAGGACAACTTTTGGGAGTTGATTTTCCTTCCACTTTGTTGAAGTGGGGGGTCTCACATCTTTCCTCCTCCTGTGTATTCTAGGCTAGCTGGTCCTCAAGTTTACAGGTTTCCATCTTGCCATAGGAGTGCTGGGACTTTAATGTGTGCTACCGAAACAATCATGGTGTGGTTGGGTGTTGGGGCACACACCTTTAATCCCAGCCTTTAGGAGGCAAGAGGCAGGTGGATCACTGAGTTCAGGGCCAGCCTGGTCTACAGAGTGATTTCCAGGGTAGCCAGGGCTGCACAGAGAACCCCTGTCTTGAAAACAAACAAAACAAAAAGGACAACTGTGTTTATTTCATTACTTACTTTTAGTTTATTTTGTTATGTTTTGCCTGCATGTATGTCTGTGCATCTCATGCATGCCTGGTGCCCTCAGAGGCAGAAAAAGGTGTGGGATCCCCTAAACTAGAGTTCTGAGCCGCCATAGGTACCAGGAATCACAGGTGCTGGGCTTAGAGGCATGAGCCACCATGTCTGGCTTGCAGATGTGCTAGAAAACAGTGAGCTTTTGTGTTTAAGTCTACAGGAGTCACAAAAGCATATCTCAGTGAATAAGTTGCCCCACACCTATAAACAAACAAGTAGAAAGCACATTAGGAGAAGCATGCCAGAGCTGGGCGTGGTGTCACACTAACCCCAGCACTCAGGAGGCAGAGGCAGGCAGATCTGTGAGTTTGAGGCCAGCCTGGTCCACAGAGCGAGTTCCAGGGCAGCCAGAGCTACACAGAGAAACCCTGTGTCTAACAACCAAAGGGGCAGGGGAAGAAAGCATTCAAGTTGCCTTTGTCCCTGAGATTAGCCTTCGGTTGTTTCTAAGCTTGCCATGAAGGGCCATTCCTGCTCTTTGTGATCCAGCTACATCAAGCTGGTCAACTTGATTGAGCCCCAGGATGTCCAGGTATTTATTTGTTCTGACCATTTCTGTGCTCCAATTGGGTCTGTGGTGTTTTCCTACAAGATTCGTGTATTAAAGGCTTGGTTGCAGCCTATGGCACCATTGAGAAGCAGGAGAACATTTCAGAGGTAGGACCGGCAGGATGTGGTGGGGCAGTATTTGTAATCTCAATACCCAGGAAGCTGAGGCAGGAGGATTGCCACAAATGTGAGGCCAACCTGAGCTAAATAGTGAGACACTGTCTGCAATAACCGGAAAGAGGAAAAGATGCGGGCTTAGTGGGGAAGTTAAGTCACTGGGGCTATGTCCTTGATCCTTTCTCTCTTTGCTTCCCAGTGGCCGTGAGCCGAACACTATTCTGCTAAGTGCTCCCATCATGATGCCGATACAAGCCTGAAGCAACGAGGCCAAATGAGCACGGGGACTTTGAAACTGTGAGCCAGGACAAATCCCCCCCCCCCCCCCCCGTTTCTAAGATATTCATCCCTGTGTGGAAGGATAGCTCTGGGGCTGCCACACCTTCTGAGTCATGGTGCTGTGGCTGTGGAAGGGGTTGGTAGGCATGGGCCTCTTTGCCCTCGCCCACGCTGCCTTTTCGGCTGCGCAGCATCATTCTCATACACGAGTGGCAGAAAAGGGGTGTGAGCCGCTGCCAACAGACATAGTTCTGCAGACACTTCTGGCCTTTGCAGTTACCTGTTATGGTGTAGTTCATACTGCAGGGGAGTTCAAAGACAGGGATGCCACTTCAGAACTAAAGGATAAATCTTTCGACGCCTTACGGAATCGCCCATCTTTTTATGTGTTTCGTCATCCTGGTCGTGGACTGTTCCAGCCTCTGGATACAACACGTGCTTCAAAACATGAGCGCATCATCTTCTGACATGCTGTTGAAGTTCTGAAGTTTGAATCATTGCCCTGCTCAGCTTTTTACAAGTTAAGTAACAGGACAGAAGCAGAATTAAGTACTGGCATTGGGAATGTAAGACACCAACTACACGTCAGTATTTTATTTTTATTGATGTTTCAGACTTAATAATAATAAAAACTATAACCAAAAACAAAAACCCAAAAAGATATTTATCACAGGTACCCTGTCTCAGCTGTAGGAAGTTGAACAGCTGTGGAGATGTTTTTGGATGAAGCAAACATTTGAATCTCAGCCTGAGTAAAGCAGAGGGCCCTCAGTAATGCACGTGGACCTAACCCAGTCAAGGGACTGAGTGGAACAAAAAGGAAGAGACATGCTCCTCCGTGCTTGAGCTGAGACATTGCTCTTTCTCTGGCTCTGTCCCCTCAATTCAAACATCAGCCCTTCTTGCTCGTTGAGCCTGCTGGTTCTCAGACTTGCCTATAGGCTTCCCTGGGCTCTGCTCGCTGACTACATTCTTGAGGGATGTGGGGGTTTTCACAATGTGCGGTCCAGGTCTTCATTGCGGCTCTCACCAAGTCTCTTCCCAGTTCTCAGACTGGTGATGATTTTCCTTGTGTGAAGAGGCCTAACTGTGAAGGAGAGATGGAGGCCAGTGTTCCAGAGCAGCGGGGATAAGAGGTGGAGAAATCCTTGCCCTGCCAGTAAGAATGTCTGTGGCCAATTCCATGTGTCGCTTTCTATGGTCTGGTTAACCATCCACTTCCCTTTTGTGCTCATGGCTCCATATGAGAGTCTGCCATTTGCAAATGTGTGAGGCTTTGTCAGAGGACAGGAATCAACAAGGGGCGTGTGCATGTGTTTGTGTAAAACTGATTCTACAGCCATCTACAGGAACCAGAATCCTCCCATGCTTAGGTAGTTTTTAGAAAATGATGCTCAAGTAGTTTTTAAATGACGTGGTATTTGCATATAACCTATGCCTACCCCCCATGTACTTTTAGTCATCTCTACATTATGTATATTACCTAATACCATGTAAATTCTGTAAAAAAAAAAGTCATACTGCATTGTTTAGGGAATGATGATAATAAAATGCATAAATTCAGTACAGATGAATTCCCCCCTCCCCCCAATTTTTTTTTTTTTTTTTTTTTTTGGTTAGCAGTTGGTTATGTTTGTGCTTGGTTTGTTTACTTGTCCTTATGGTCTACTTCTATAAGAATGTCACCTCCCTGAGGGCCAGATCCTGTTTGCCTTGGTTCCTTGTGGTGTCCCTCATGCCTGACTTAGTGCTTGATGTGTCTTTGCTTGTGTTTTGTTGGAGGGGCAAGGATATGAGTGTTATTGTGTGGGGGGGGGGGAGGGAGAGGGAGGTAGAGTGAGACTGACCTGGAACTCAATATATATATATATATGTGTGTGTGTGTGTGTGTGTGTGTATCAGGCTGGTCTTGAACTCACAGAGATCCACCTGCCTCTGCCTCAAGCACTAGGATTTAAGGGGTGCACCAGCATACTTGGCTTTTTTTCCATACATATTTATCAGGAAAGGCTCAATTTATTCTGTGAACCCCAGACGCCATGTTGACTGGTCTGCAGCATTCAGACTGGTTGCTGCTCTTTGCTGTCTGGATTTTCCTGCCCCCGGCTGTAGTAAAGGAAGCCTGTATTTCCTTCCTCCTTCCTTTGACAGCTCTCCAGAGAGTCCCTTCCTCCTCCAACGTGTTGAACGCCATATGGCCCTTCTGACCTGTCTGTGGCCCTCTTCCCATTCCAAGACACCTGTCTTAATTACTTTTCTGTTGCAGTGGCAGAACACCAGGGCCAAGGCAACTTGTAAAAAGAAGTGTTTAATTAGACTTACAGTTTCAGTACATGATGGCCGAGCAAAGACATGGTGGCACGAATGGCTGAGAGTTCATGCAGAGAGAAAAAGAGAGACTGGGAATGATGCAAAGCTTTTAAACCTGAGGGCCACTGCCAGTGACACACCTCCATCAAGGCCACATCTCCTAATCCTTCCCAGACTGGGGATCAAGTATTCACACTTACCAGTCTCAGGAGGCCATTCTTTTTTTTTTTTTTTTTTTTAATTAAAAGTTTTAAAGATGTATTTTCTTTCTCTCTCTCTCTCTCTCTCTCTCTCTCTCTCTCTCTCTCTCTCTCTCTCTCTCTCTCTCTCTCTCTGTCTAAGTCAGAGGACAACTTTTGGGAGTCAGTTTGCTCCTTTTACCATGTGGGTCCCAAAGATCAAACCTATGATGTGTGCTCAGTCTGGTGGCAAGCATCTTCACTTAGTTCTCTGGCCCCAACCAGTTTGATTCTAATGGGAAAAGCTGAATCCTCCGTCCAAGGCCCTCCTTGAGCAAAGAGTATGTCTGCTCTAAGTAAACATTTGCTGCAGTGCTAAGTCAGCACCCAGAAATCTTCAGGATAATGTTTGGATAAGCAGTGAATGAACACACATTGGGCAATGCAGAATTGCTCTTTAGACATGGGCTCCGGGGACCCACCAACCAGAGTTCCTGTCCTCCTGCGTATTAATGCAGCCTGTATGAACCATGCTCACTGAATCCTGGGCCAGCTTCATTTTCCTTATGAGAGTTGTCCAATGACCGTATGAACCTATGTAGGATAAGACACCTTCTTTGCTACTTTTCAGAAAAAAAAAAAAAAACAAAAAACAAAACTCTAGAATAAGTACACTGCCTTCAGCATTAGCCCTAATCTGTTTTATTTAAAAAAAAAAACAACAACAAAAAAAACTATTTCTCAAAGAGCCTTTCTTTTTCTTATTTTACATATCGATCCCAGTTCCCTCTCTCCCACCCTCCCATACCCCCCTCCCATCCCATTCCTACTCCCCCCCATCCCCTACCCCTGCTGCACAGGGAGGGTGATGCCTTCCAGGAGGGATCAACAAAATCTGTCAAGTCATTTGGAGTAGGGACTACGCCCTCCCTCAGGAGGCCATTCTTACTCAAACCACCACAAGCTCTAGCACTGTTGGGTTGGGTTGCCCTCTTGTGGGCTGGTCCAAGATTGCCTGTTTTTAGTTAATGAACATTCCTGTCCTTTTGCAATATGCATTTCTGACTCCATTTATGCAGAATGGAAGCAGTATTTTCTCCACCCACTTGTGTCTTGTTTCCTTCCCCCCGGGATTTTCCTGGTCTTCATTCACAGGGGAGCCACGACCTGTCGGATCTACATTCCCTGCCCCTCTGAGGGATTCTGCTCCCCCATCCAGGCTACCCTTGCTTTAGTACAAAGCCGTACCATTTAACATCTCATGGACATAACCTATGCTATGAGTACAATCCGCATCTCTCTTAGCTGTACTGTCCTGTTAAATTGCTACCATTCCTAGACCAGCACTGTCATATAACCCTTGGCTTCAGTCTTTCAACACCTGGATACCATGGATACAAAATTAAGCCCAAATCCTCATCATTGGAGGGCCTTCACTGCCAAGCCCCTCCCGGATTCTCCAGCCTCCTCTCCATCCCTCGAACAGTACACTCCATGTCTTCAGGACACTTGCAGGTTTGTCTGTGGGGGATTGTCTTGATTGTTAATTGATGTAGGAAGACAGCCCACTATGGGTGGCACCATTTCCTAGGCAGGGGATCCTCAATGACAGGACAGGACCTAGGTAGATACGAGGAAGCAAGCAACATGGTTAAATTCTGGAGGCTAGGAGCCAAGATCAAGGAATTGGCTTGGGTTCCTTCCTCCCAGGATTCTCTCCTTGGCTTATAGATGGATGTCTTCTTTGTCTTCATGTAGACCTCCCTTCGTGTGTTTGTATTGTCTTCTTCATAAGGATTCCGCCCTTACTAGTGACCTCATTTTAGCATAATTATGTCTTTAAAGACACTCATAATCTTGTTCTAGGGATTGAACTCCAACATGTAATTGGGGGGGTTCTATTCATCCTGTAATATTCTTTCTCCTGACCCAAAAAAAAAAAAAAAAAAAGTAATTCTCATATGCAAATATATCCAGTCCATTCTCACAGCCACCGATGTCCTAACCTTTCCCAAATCTACTCTAAGTCCAATATCTCATCTAAATCATGTGTTGGATAAATTCCAGGAGTGGATCTTCCTGAATGAAAGTTTCTCTCCAGCTGTGATCCTGTGAAACTGAACCATACATTACATGCTTCCAAAATAAACTAGTGGGGCAAACATGACCTAGACTTCCCAAGCCCAAAGGAAAGGGGAACGGAGAAAGGTCATGTTAGGACCCCTACATGTCAGAATTTTGTGGAGTCTAGATTCAATCCACAACAGCTTCCCCTTAGTGAACCTGGGAAATGACACCCACCATTGAATACCTAATTGTCTTGCCTTTCCTTCTTTATGTTTTATTATACCCCAGCCCATATTTGCCTCCATCAAAATCCCTGTTACATTTAATTCACCTATTTGATTACGTGGCTGTCTCCTCTGTCAACACCTGACATACAAGTACACTTTCAGAATACACTGGTCTTCCTTATGTGCTGGGGACACATCCGAGACCTAGAGTAGATGTCTGCAAAGTACTGAGTCTGTTAGATAATATTT